AATTTTTTTTTTTTTTTTTTTTTTTTTGTTTTGAGATTTTTTAAATTGTTATTGAAAAAATAAATTTATATAATTAAAATTTTCTTCTCTATAAATTTTTGTATTTATAATAAAAACTTAAAGTTTTTTTGTTAAAAGAAATATATTTTAAATATAAATATATTTGAACTTGTATTTAGTTTTTTACATTACAACTTCTAAAAAGGTGATATTTTATTTAATGTATTTTTTATTACAAAAAAAAAAAAAAAAAAAAATGAATTTTATATGACAAATATCTTTAAATAAGTAATATTTAAATATATATATATAAATTGGATTAAGATAAACATTTTTATAAATTAAAAGTATTTTTATATTTTTTTTTTCATCTATAGTTTATATTTTTATATATAGGATTCTATTTATGTTATTTTCTTAATTCTCTCAAGAACATAAAGCTACATTATATTTTATCAATTACACAAAATAAACTTGAAGTAAAAATTAAGAAGCTTTTATACATGGACTTTAGTTATTTAAAAAAAAAAAAAAAAATTTTATGTTAGTAAGATAAAACTATTCTAAAAAAATATTTGGGAATATAAATTTAAGAAATCATAAAAAAAAAAAAAAAATAATTTTATAACCTATTAATATAATAATCAAACAAAATTAAAATAATTAAAGAAAATAAGATAAAATAAAATCTTTGAAATAAATTAGTTCATTCTTAAATAATCAATACTTTTAGTAGAATGAATTATGATTTCTTTTTTTAAATAAATTTATATATATAGATATATAATTTTTAAGTATAATAAATGGAAGATTTTAAAAACGTATAAAATATTCTTCTATTAACATACAAAGGAAAATATTTTTATATAAATTAGAAGGTAGAAAAAACACATAATAGTACTCACTGATTAATATAGTTACTATATTTTTTTTTTATAGAAAAAATGAAATGATATATATTTTCATTTTAATTTTTTTATTGAAATTATGGAAAAAAATAGATTGTCAATCTTGCTATTTTAGAAACAATAAGAATGTTATTTTATCTTCAAATATAAAAATAAAAAATAAAAAAAATTATTATTATTACAAAAGTAAGCATCTTCATAATGATATAAAAAATATATTTGCAAAAGCATATAAGGTTTCCTTTAATACATTAAAAAAAGAGGATTATAAAAGTAAGCTTTTCTCACTTAAAGAATTTTATTCTAATTATTTTTTGTTACATTATATCAACACCAATAATAAAAATGTTTTTTCACTAAGTAATATATATAACAATTTTTTTTGTAAAAAAAATAGAATAAATCTACAAAAAATTTTATATTCTTTAAAAACGAAAAGACATTCTTATTCTAAGAAAAAAATACTATTTATCCCAAATAAAATAAATTTGAAAAATGAGAAATATAACAATAAAATTAGATATATTGAAAGAAATAAACTTAAAAAATACAAGTTCATAAAGAAAAAATGCTATAGTGAAAGTTATAATAATTTGGGATATAATCCATTTAAGAATAATATCTTAAAGATAAATGAAAATGAAAAATATAATTCTTCTGAAATATTTAACGCTTATAATTATTATTTTCATAATGAAAATTATATAGAAATAAATGATAATTATCTTTTTAGTAAATTTTTTCTATTTAGTATTTTAAAAAGTAGCTTAATATATAGTTACACTAAAGAAGAATATATGAAAAGGTTAATGAAGGAAATATGGTTTTTATTTTATAAATTATATAAGATAAATTTAAATGGTTTTGACAGAGAAAGCGAGTTAAAAGAAAATATGAAAATTGAGAATATAAATAAACAAAATATATTAGAAAACACAAAATTTGATGAAGCTTATTCAAACTCTTACAAAGGTATGGAATATCTAGGAATAAATGAAGATTTTTTTCTTATAAATGATTATAAAAATACTAAAAACCATTATATTTGCTCTTTTCATAATAATAAAAATACAATTCTTATAAAAAATTGGTTGTGCTCTTTACACTGTTTGTTTATTAAACAGTGGGTAGATAGACTTGTTAATTTTATATTAAAAGAAAATTTTTCAAATAAAGAATTTTCAAAAAATAATTTGATTATTAAATGTGAAAATAATATTCAAAAAAAATTATTTTTTCATTTACAATGTTTCTATTTCCTTTTTACTAAAGAAAAAGAAGATGATAATGGTTATTTATATATTGATTCTTTATACAATTATAGACAAAATGGTTATATAAATAATAACTGTTATAAAAAAAATATCGTGTCAGAAAATAAGGAAAAAAATATGGATAAAAAATATATAAATAAGGAAAACCTAAATGAAAATGTGAAGTATATTAGTCAAAATGATAATGTAACAAATGAAAATATCATCATATACATTTATAGAAATAATGAAAATATAGAAAAATATTATAAATATTTAAAAAATATTTATAAAAAAGAATCCGTTAGTTTTTTTAATTATGACAAATATATACATAATGATAATTCATTTTTCATAATGTTAATATCATACGAAGAATTTTTTAATATCTCTTATTTTTATAGTAGTACCTTTGAAAATTTTAAAAAATATATAAATAGCAAAACAATTTTTTCTGAAATATGTATTAATTTATTTCAAGTATTTTCATGTCTACTTAAATGTTCTTCTTATGGTAATAAAGAGTTGAATAGAAATTCTCAAAATTATAAATTTAAAATCTTCTTCGATGATTTCAATTTAAAATATAATTATGAAGTAAATATAATAGAAAAAAATATATATGAACATCTTTTCTCTTTATTAAATATAAATGAAAAAATGACATTTTATTTTTTATCAACTCATATTTTTAACCTCTCATTATTTAAAATATGGATAGCAAGTATTCATAAGAATTGTTCTACAATAAGTTTAACAAAAAAAAAAAATTTCTTTATTTTACATAAAAAATTAATTTTTAGAATTAATAACAACGATGAAATAAATAAAAGTAATAATAATGATATAAAATTAAATAATAATATAGAAAATGAAGAAAAGATGATATTTAATATGGTAAAAAACAAAAAAAAAAATGTTTTGAATAAACAAGTTACCAACAATTTATTAATATTTAATAAATTTAGAAAAGATATTATTGTCAAATATTTGAAAGAGAATAATTTATATAATATAAATAAATTAAAGAAAAAAGACAAAAAACTTAAAAGAAAGTTCAATATAGCTAAAAGGTATTTAAAAAAAAAGAAGATATATAATTTTAATATTTCTCGTTATATTGATTTTATTATAAGTAAAAACAAGAAGGGAGACATATTTTTTAAAAAAATTATTAATCCTTCTTATATTTTAAAAGAGGAAAATTTGCAAAAAAATGATAAAATTAATATATTAACTAATAATTTATATATTGCCTATAATAACGACACTTTTAATAAAGAAAGAGAGGATTTAAAATTTTCTCAATTAAACAATGACTTAATTAATTTAGAAAGTAAAAACAAAAATTTATGTTTTCAGAAAAATTATAAATTGAATATTTTAAAGATAAATGAAAAGAATAAAGAAAATAAGGATGAAAAAGAAAAAGCTAATTATTTATTAGAAGAAGAGAAAAAGAAATCTATAAAGAATACTTATATATGGGATGAAACTGATGTAGCACTTAAAAAAAACTTAAATTATAATAATAAATATAGATTTTTTTATTTAAATAAAGTTGATATAAAAAAAGAACATAATATAATGAGTAAGATAAACTTTACTAAAATATATCCTTGTATCTATTATATATTCAATTTAGAAAATTTTCTTCTTTTTTCTGAAGAGTTATATGAACAGTTAAATTTGTTAGATGAACATTCAGTAGAAAAATGTGAAATTATTTTAAAAAAGTATGAAGGAAAAATAAATGTAAATAATAAATTCAAAATGTATTTATTCAAAGGATTATTTTTAGTTTCAGAAAAGTTGAATATATTTCAAAAAGCTCTTATTAAAGAGTTATTAAAAAGAGGATTAATAAAAATTATAATATCATGTATTAATATTTCTTCAGATGGTTTTTCTGTTCAAAGCGTATTCTTAGATAGTGTTCATATAAATATTAATAAAAAATTAAAATATAATTATTTGATTGATTTAATAAATAACTTACATGATGAAACATTTTATTCTTTTTCAGAAAATAGTGATATAAATAATAAAAATAAAACTGATGATAATGTAGAAAATAGATTAAAAAAATTAGAAAGTAATGTAAATATTTCAGAAGATATGTATAGGTTACATTTTGTTAAATATTTCATGTATTTAAATTTTAGATATATTTTTAGAAAATATACTTTATCAAATAATGATATTTTAAATTTATCTAAAAATTCAATTAACTTTTTTCTAATTCCTCAAAAATATGAAGATATTTCAATAATTTTAAACACAAACAACAATAATTATTTAAATTTTTCAAATATGCATAAGCATATAATTAGAGATTTTTATTTTAATATGTATTACATTATTATTACTAAAAGTATATCTATTCACTTAAAATTTTTGAAGGATTTACAATATGATAAAAAATTAGATAAAAAAGTTTTAGTTAATGACTTAAAAAATAATACTTATAATAAGAATTATAAGGATAATAGCATGGATAATTATATTAGAAAAAATAATATAAATAATTTAAATATGAAGCAATATTTTTTTAGAAGTAAAATGAATAAATATAATTTTTTTAATAATTATATTAACAACATTTTTGATAGTAATTTTATATTACTCAACCTATATAATATAATAAATTTGTCTTTAGACTTTTATAAAATTTATAAATTTAACCAGTTGAATGCATTTTTATTTATAAAAAATTATATAAATATATGTAATAATTTATCATATTTGTTAAACTATTATGAATTTTTATATTTTTATTTTATAAATAATAAAGATTTTGAAAAAATTTGTGAAAGTAGTAAAAATAATTTTTTCAATTTTCTATTAATGAAAAGAACAAAATATGAAAAAGAATTTATAAAACATAACAAAGAACACAAATTAGATTTTTATCAGAAACAACTGAAGAAAATATGTAAGTACTTTGATGAAGACCATATTTATATGTATTATAATACATATATAAATTATAATAAATTAAAAAAAAGATTTACAAAAAAACTAAAAATATTATATAAAGAAAAGTATGATATGCTTTATATAAATATAAAAAATAATTTTAAAAAAGTAGTCTTGAGTACAATAGATAAAAAACTTTGTATAATTTTAGATATATATAAAGTAAGTAAAAAATATATAGATAATTTATATATTTGCTTGAATGATTCAAATGAATTATTCATTTGTAAAATATTTTTCTTTGCTGCTCTTATGAAAAATAATAAATTTTATAAATATATTAAGAAAAAAAGTAAAAAATTTAACTATTTCAATTATTTGTTTAATAGCAGAGAAGTAACAAACTATAAAATATTTATAAAAGAATATGATTTTCTATTCGATATATATAAGGAAGAAAATAATAATAAAAAAAGTATTATTTCTAATAAAAATTATATATTTGAATTTTTCGTTAATAAAATTAGTTTAAGTAATGAATTTAATAAAGAAGAAAAACGAGATTGCTATAAATTAAAAGAAAAGTCTCAAGATGAAAATACAGAAAAAGTAATAGACATATATGACATACTATTTAATTCTTATAATGAAAGTATATATAATATGAATAATAGAATGATTCTGTTTTTAAAAAAAATGAGAAATATGAAAAGAAAATTATATATACAATATTTAAAACAAAAGGATATGCAAAAGAAGAAAAAAAGAAATTTGTTTTATTTTTCAAGTAACAGCTTAAATGAACATTACAATTTAAAATTATGTAATAAAAATGAAGAAATTAAATTTAATGACCTAAAAGAAAAGAAGGTAATTTATGAAAAACCCAATGAATTATCAAAATTTATAAAAGATGATTATTTCTCTAATAATGAAGCACTAATAAGAAGATATTTTTACAATAATATATGTAGAAATAATGAAGAAAAGAAAAATATTAAAATATTTGTTTATGAAAATTTAAAAAATTTAAAGAAAAATATAAATAATGATCATAAGTTAAAATATTCAGAAAATAAAAATAAAAAAATATTATTAGATTTTAAAAGTATCGATTTTCTAAATTTATACAAAAAAAAAAAAAATATAGGAAACAGAAATAATTATTTAAATGAAATAAATCAAATAAATCGTATATTTGGGTGTAATACTAATACGTTTAATAAGGAATTTTCTAATATATTTTTATTTCTTAATAACTTTAATTTAATAGATATATTAAAAAAATATATGAATCCTTATATAAAAAATTCTTTATGGTTTTATATTATAACTTTGTATATCAATCATATATATTCATTAAACAAAAATGAAATAATTATGAATCCTGAATTATTAATTACTATTTTTTATATTTGTTTTTATGAAAATAAATATAGCTACCTAGATAATTATATATCATCTTTTCATATATCAAATATTTATTTAAAAAATATTGTCGCTGATATTTTTATCTACAAAGAATTATTATCTTCTCTCCAATTTAAGTATTAACATATTAAAATAAATAAAATATATAAATATATATATATATATATATTTTAACATATGTATTACTTAAAATCATTTATTTTACTTTTTTTACTTCTTTTAGGTTTAAAATTCATATAGATATTACATTTAATTTAATAGATCTTTGTGAAGTATTTGAGTCACTAACTAAATTGAGAAAAAAAAACTTTAAAGATATTAATGAAAATATAATAGGAATTTTAACAAAGTTGAATTTGATACTGTATAACGTTTCTTCCTATTTTAACAAAGATATTAATGAAATTATTTTAAGCTTTATTAATTACATTAATGAGATGAAAAAATATAAAGAAGTTACATAAAATGTCTATAGGAATTCTATCCTTTTTTTAATAATTTTTTTTTAAAATATTACTAATTCAATATTATAATTTGCTAATATTTTAAAATATATTATTGTTTCTTTTTTAGTTATTATATTTATTTCAGAAATAAAATTAAAAAAAAAATAAAAAAATAAATAAATATATATATATATATATTATTTTCTCTTTTTTTCTTTTAAAGAATCTTCATCTTTTGACCATTCAATGTTATTTCTATTATACATAGGCCAAGTAGGTAAAACTAACTAAAAAAAATGAAAAATAAAATAAAGAAAATAAAAAATGATGAAATGAAAAATTAGTTAATGTTAAATTCTATATAAATAGTGTAAAAATATAAAGCATTGAATAACAATAAATATATTTACAATAGTTGCCATAAGGGTTCCAGCTAAAATTATATAAGCACTTAAAGCTAAATTTTGATAATAATAACCAATAACAATTGCTAAAATTGTACTTATAGTAAAAATTATGTTCTTAATTAAAAAAGCCAATTTTTGACCAACGAAATCCTAAAAATATTTAAATATCAACAAAATATATTATACAAGTAAATATATTAACATTCATTATTAATATTTTGATAATTTCTTTTTTTTTTTTTTTTTTTGTATATATATATATATTCAAAAATTTAACCATTTGATTTCTTTTGAGACAAAAGTAAGTATTTTGAATGATACTCTTAATATCCTTAAAAGTGCTCATTGGAAATAAAAAAAAAAAAATTATTTTTTGCCTTAGTATTTTATATATAAAACCTTAATGGTAAAAATATGATATTTTATTTGTTTATTCTTTAAAAATAAATTAAATATGTTATATATTTTAATATTATGATTATTAGTTTATCTCTTTATATTATAATTTTATAGTATTAATGATAAATATGTTTATTTTTCAATTATGAATGTTAATTATTACATTTTATTTTTTATTGTTACATCATAATATTTTATTTGCACTTTTTTTCATTAATTCTAGAAAGTGTATTTTGTGTTTTTTTTTTTTTTTTTTTTTTTTTTTTTTAAATTAGCTTAAATTTTTTTTGTAAACTAAAATAATAAAAAATAACAAATGAAAGAGAAATTCCTAAACAGTTATATATCAACAAAATTCTAAATGTATCTTTTTTTTTTTTTTTTTTNAATTTTTTTTTTTTTTTTTTTTTTTATGAATAAATATTTTAAGAATAATTAAAAAACCTATTTTTTATATGAATATTCAAAAATTTAGATTTTATGTTCTGCACATATTTACAATTAAATTTTTTTAACATTACTTGTACATAAAAAAAAAAAAAAAAAAAAAAAATCCTTTTGAGAGATTATATAAGAAAGGTCTATATTTATTTCTTTTATTTTACGAATGTACTATAGAAAATAAGTTGATATTTTATAATATTAAATTATAAATTTGGCAAGATCAAAAAAAAAAAAAAAAAATGTATCATTAGATCTTTTTCTTTACCGGTAATATCTTTAAAACTATTAAAATTGTTTTGTATGTAAATTAAATGAAAAATGAATTTTGTAAGAAAAATTTATTTATATAATGATAATTTATTATTTTTTTTTCTATTTTTTTTAAAGAAATTTTAAATAATGATACTATTGAAACATTAAATTTATTAAAGGAAAGAAAGTTGTAAGCTTAAAAATAATTCACAAGAAAAAATTTAATAACAGCAAAAAAAAAATTATATTAGAAATTTAAGTAATTTTTGTTGATGAAAAAAAAAAAAAAACGTTTTAAATGAGCAATAAAAACTTATAGATTTTAAGAAGAAAAAAAATATTGAAAAAATAAAATTAGACAAATATTTAGATAAGTAAATATTACTTTTGTTAAATATATGTAAATTTATGTATATAAAAAGAAAAAAAAAAAAAAAATAGACAAGTATACTCAATAATACAAGGAATATTTTTATTTTGTCTTAATTTTTTTTTATTAATGTGTATTTCTAAAACATTATTTACCATACATTTTTAAAATTATATATCTTTATGCATGATTTTTATTTATAAAGAAAAAAAGAAAAATATATATCTTTTTTTCTTCAGATATTTTTATTATATTTATATGTTATTAAATTTATTATATTATATTTATATATTTATTTCAATTTTATTTTTTTTTTTTTTTGTTTTAATTTTATACATATTTTTTTATATATTTAATTTCTAGTTTTGATGAAAATAAATACATTTTAATATTTTTCTTGTTTTCATGAAAAATTTTATACAGAAATTATCAATTTTATAATTTTATTTTTTGTATTATGAAAATATAATAATTTAATTAAATAATATCTACATTTTATGAGATTTTATTTTTATACGTATGTATATTTTTATTTTATTAAATAAAAATTTTAGTAAAATGTATAAATTTTTAAAAAGAGAAATAAATGAATAACTTTTTTGGATACATTAATTTGTGTATATTACAATGTAAAATTTATCTCGTATAAGAAATTACATAAATTACTGAAGCATTTAAATAATATTATAAAATTTTATTTTTATTTATATAAATAATAATTACATTTCTTTAATTATCTTTATTATATTCACATTTCATTTCCCTTATTTTTAAAAATAAAATAAGTAATTTCATTATCGAATAATAAAATATTAAAAAAATAGAAAATATATATTTTAAAGAATTTGTTTATGTTTTGGTTTATTTAGTATTTGCTTTCAATTTTGAAAACAAAAGTATAATTATTTTTTCTTTCAAATTTGTACTATAAATAATCTATATTTTATTAAAAATTTTAAAATTTCATTTGGCTTTATGATATATAATTGTAATTTTTTTACAATATGTTTTCATTTGGCATTATTAATATTTGGTTACTATTTAAATATATAGTTTTATGTGTAATTATTTGTATTATATATCAATATTCCTTTTATTGCATTTATTAGAAATATATATTCCTTTTATATTGAAATGTATATAACTTGCTATAAAATCTATTGTCAAATATGAGATATAGTATATAAATTTCTAATTATAAATAACTAAATTATAATATTCTTCAACATTATATTATAAAATGACCTAAATATATACAATTATTTCTTATATATATATTATATAAATTATACTTTTAATTTTATATTTTTTTTTTTAAAGAATATATATTTATTTACATCATACTATAAATGTGTTTTACTAATTAAATATATACATATATATATATATATATTTTCATATAAATTTTTTTTTTATGAATGAAATTAGGATTTTATGGTTTTATTTTTCTTTTACCAGGAATAACTAATATTTGGCAGAACTAGACAATTAAAAATAATTATATATAAGTATATATATATATATATAAATTTATATATATATGTATATATGTGTGCGTTATTCATATATGACTAAATAGTATAAAAAAATTTTAATATCTTATTTTAAAAATGTCAAAAAAGAAAACGATTGAGGAGAGATATCAAAAAAAATCCCAAATAGAGCATATTTTGCTGAGGCCTGACACATATATAGGGAGTGTAGAAATGCACACACAATTTTTGTGGGTGTGGAATAAAAATAAAAATCGTATGGTTCAAAAAAATATAACGTATGTACCAGGATTATATAAAATATTTGATGAAATAATAGTAAATGCTGCTGATGTAAAAGCAAGAGAGAAAAATAAGTGTGAAAATCCCATGACTTGTATAAAGATAGATGTTAATAGAGAAAATAACAAAATAAGTGTATATAATGATGGAGAAGGAATACCTGTTGAAATGCATAAAGAAATGAATATATATGTTCCTCATATGATATTTGGAGAACTTTTAACATCCGATAATTATGATGATGAAGAAGATAGAATTACAGGTGGAAGAAATGGGTTTGGTGCAAAATTGACAAATATTTTTAGTAAAGAGTTTGTAGTTCAATGTGGAGATGCTAAAAGAAAAAAGGAATTTAAGATGACATGGGTAAATAATATGTCTAAATTTTCAGACCCACAAATAAAGAATTATAATGGAAAAGATTTTGTTAAAGTTACGTTTAAACCTGATTTATCTAAATTCGGAATGATAGCAATGGATGATGATATAGAGAGTTTGATATACAAAAGGGTTTATGATTTAGCTGGTACATGTAACGTAAAAGTATTTTTGAATGGTACTAGATTAGGTGTAAAAGATTTTAAAAGTTACGTGGATTTATATTTAAAAGATAACTCTTCAAATTCCAATAATAAAACACAAAATAGCAGTTCTGAAACTATTGCAAATCAAAATTTTACAAACCCAGAAAATAGTGAAGCAAATGACCCAGGAGAAAGTCCTAAGAGTAACGTAAATGGAAATGTTAACGATGATGAAGAAATTGTAAAAATACATGAAAAACAGCATCGATGGGAGATTGTTATATCTAGATCAGATGGATCTCAATTTCAGCAGGTTTCCTTTGTTAATAGTATTTGTACTACTAAAGGGGGTTCTCATGTTAACTATATAGTTGATCAGTTATTAAATGCTCTTAGTAAAAAAGCTAATGCAAAAAATAAAGGAGGAATGGATATAAAGTCTGGGCATATTAAAAATCATTTATGGGTTTTTGTTAATTGTCTCATTGTAAATCCGACTTTTGATTCCCAAACGAAGGAAACATTAACTACAAAGCCTGTAAAGTTTGGAAGCAAATGTATATTGTCAGATAAAACTATTAACAATGTTCTAAAAAGTTCTATTCTGAGTAACATTTTATTATGGGCTCAAGCAAAGGCACAAGTAGAATTAAAAAAAAAAATGAAAGCAGGTTCTTCTAAAGCTAGAGAGAGGATAATTGGTATACCCAAATTAGAAGATGCTAATGATGCTGGTAGCAAATATAGCCAAGAATGTACTTTAATTTTAACAGAGGGAGATAGTGCAAAAACTTCGTGTTTAGCTGGATTATCAATTGTAGGAAGAGATAAATATGGAGTATTTCCATTAAAAGGAAAGTTATTGAATGTAAGAGATGCTTCCTTTAAGCAATTAATGGACAACAAAGAAATTCAGAATATTTTTCGAATAATGGGATTAGATATTACAGATAAAAATAAAAATGATATCAAGGGATTGAGATATGGATCATTAATGATTATGACTGATCAAGATTATGATGGTTCACATATTAAAGGTTTGTTAATTAATATGATTCATAAATTCTGGCCTAGTTTATTAAAACATAAGGGATTTTTAAGTGAATTTGTTACACCTATCGTTAAAGTGCAAAAAGGAAATCAAGAATATTCCTTTTTTACAATAGCAGAATATGAGCAATGGAAAGAAAACACTAATTTGGCAGGATGGAAAATAAAATATTACAAAGGATTAGGTACATCAACAGACAAGGAATTTAAACAATATTTTTCTGATATAAAAAATCATAAAATTGTATTTTTATGGACTGGAGATAGAGATGGAGATTCTATAGATATGGCTTTTAGCAAGAAAAGAATTGAAGATAGAAAATTGTGGTTGCAAAATTTTATTATTGGTTCATATGTAGATCATAAAGAAAAAGATTTATCATTTTATGACTTCGTTAATAAAGAATTAATATATTATTCAAGATATGATACTGAAAGAAGTATACCCAACTTAATGGATGGATGGAAACCAGGTCAAAGAAAAGTCTTGTATGGATGTTTTAAAAGAAATTTAAAAAATGAATGCAAAGTA